TTTTTTTTTTTTTTTGTTTTAAGTGATCGTGTAATTTTTCTATTATTTTATTTATTTATTTCCTTAATTATTTAAGCTCGTTTTGGTGTGCTAGAGGAGTTTATAGTTTCTAAATCTTTTCATGATTTTAGCTACACAAATGTGGTTACAACGTGAAGTACGCCATAGAAGCTATGAACTTGATAGATGATCGGATTGTGAAAGAGACGAGGTTCCTAACCGCTGGAGATGCCAAAAAGTTTGCTAAAGGCATCAAAATGTATGGCAAGAATTTCTTGAAGATAAAAAGTGAATTATTACCTCGTCACGAAAGGGTTTGTATTTCCACTTGCTTTCATTATAATTTTTTAGCCGCTGTATATAGTACTTGTGTTTCTGTCTTGTCACGCAAAAAATGTTCTCAGGTTTCGCAGGTTTTTGGTTTTTGGGTTGTAATTTTTGTGGGTAAGTGGAAAAATAAAGCTTCGCGATATTTTCTTCTTTATCGATATCTTTCTTTCGTGATTTATTTTCTTTTCAGCCAGTCAGAGTACTTTGCTTTTGCCTTCTTATTTTACTTTTTTTCGCTGCATTCTTGCTCCGGATTCTGGGATTAACTGTTTTACAGGCCGATCTCGTTCAGTTCTATTATCGTTGGAAAAAGACGCATGATGCAACTCGTCCTAAACCTCTCACTCGACCTCGTAATTCTGCTGCTAGTTCGTATAGAAAAGCAAAGAATAACCAACCAAAGGTATTTTTAAAAACTCATTTTTTTGTGGGGTTATTTTTACTTGGCTTAACCCATTGCGTAGCTGCGCTAGTAGTTTATGCAGCCGCCAAAATATGCTGTTTTTTTTTAAAAATTATTAAATGACTGAGTTTTTGTTCTGCCTGTTCAACAACCCTTATTTAAGACACCTCATCCGAATCCAGATCTTGCCGATTACGAATCAGCTAGTGAAACTGAAATGGAGGAGCTGATAAACAATGGACGAGCTGCAGCGTACGCCTGCCATCACTGTTATTCGTCAAGTAATTTAATTTTTTTAGCTAGAAGTTTGGGAATTTATTTTCTAGTCATTATTTTCCATTTACGTTCCGATTGTCGTTTTAGAAAGCAAAGACTGGCACCATTCTGGAAAGGATCGGCAACTGCTCTGCACCGACTGTCGTCTTTTTTATAAGAAATACGGTCAGCTTCGGCAAGTGGATCGGCCTAGCACAGTGCCTCCTTCACTGCATAAGGCGAAAAACTGTGATATTCAAAAAGAAGAAGTAAATTATTATTTAGTGGGCAGTTGCAGAGGCACTTCTATGTACTAATTGCCTGTCATTAAGGTACTGTTTTTACTAATTTTGCACCTTTAAGGAGCAAGGCGTACGTACACGTGCTGGGAAAAAGGAACGTCGACGAACTCCTTCTGATACAGACAGGAAAAATGGTAGTCCTGTTAGTCCTCCAGATGGAGAGATTAAGCAACGGAACGGCAAACGTAAAAGAAACCATCAACAAACGCCGGAACATGTAGGCACAAACAAATTTTGCAGCATTATTTTTCTTGAATTTAATTGAAGAAATTTTTTCAGATTAATGGTTCGGTGAAAAGGAAAGCTATAAAAGACGAAAAGGAAATAACAAATGAAGACTTGAGAGCTGATGGTAAGATTAGCAGAGAGAGTGTGACGAAATCTGAGAACCCTGAACAACAGAAGGTCTGTTTTTGAACTTCTTCAATCTAGCACCTCTCATTATAAAGCATATGCAGTTTAATAATCTATGGGTTCACTGAATATTAATTTTTATGCAGGATCAAAGCGTTTATTTGGAAAAACATGTTAAAATGGAAGTTGATCAGGCAGAAAATGAGTTGGTTGCGGCGAATAATACAGTCAATGGTTTGCAGCCTGAGGCTGCTTCATCACTTTCAGGATGCTCAGAAAATCCAACTACTAGTACTTCAATAGAACCTGTGGTTAAATCCAAAGAAAAAGCTGATAAAATGGTGGCACAGGGAGAAAGTGTGCCAGTAGGCGTTTTAAAGACTATTTCTCCAGCTTCAAATACTGTTAATGAAGAAGTGCCGAGCACAAGTGCTAGTCATCGTGAAGATGCTGAGGTGTGTTATTTTGTAATTACTTAAAAGAATTTTTTAAATTCGTTTCTGGTATAAGCACTCATTGGTTTGCTTTATTCTTAAATTTTTTGTTTAGAAAGCGAGGAAGGAAGAAGATGAGGAGGACAACCGCTGGACTGTTGGTACAAAAGTGGTTTTGACTTGTAAATGTTCACAATTTGTACGAGTTATCGAGCGCAATTCCGACCTCACTTGTGCACGATCTGATCTCATTTACCAATGTAAGCCCGGCGTTCATAGGAGTAAAAACCATGAAAATGTTACTACACCGGTGAAGAAAAGTAATGTGATTACTGACAAAATTCCTCATAAAAAGGTATCATTTGGTTGCGTTTACCCTTTCTAAAATATTCCAACTTGTTTACCCTGAGTCATTTAGTCAATCGAATCTCAAACCGCCGTTTCCACAAATGTATCGGTTTCTTCTTCTGTTCCATTACCAGTTATGTCGGGTACCTCTGGTGTGGATGCGTTTATGGGAGGTCGGGTTCCCGTAAACGGCACAGCAGTTAACGGTATTCCGGGTATATTTCCTGGCATTCCCGATCCACGTTTCGCATTTTTAAGTCAGCAGCAATATGCAATAGCTTTCGAGCAGGTAAACATTTGCAGATACTTTTAATTCTTGCAGGCATAGGATTTTTCTTGGCTCTGGCGAAGTAATGTCATGAAACTATTTACTGCTTTTTAGGCAGCTTTACAAAAACAAATTGAGCAGCAGATTAGAGTTTCTCAGTTGGAGATGATGAGAAATGGTACCAATGGGCAGGTGCCATCGAATGCGATGCGTGAATCACCTTCGAGAAGTATGGCAAACCCCCATAATTTACCCCCTGGAATGCTTAGCACACAGTTTCACAATAATTTCAATGCAATGGACCCTCGTGCTTTAGCTACTTTCTTGCACAATCCGCAGTTAGCTTCTCAGTTCGGTATTGGGATAGATGGAGGTCATGCGGCTGCCGCTGTGCTAAATGCTATGGAACAAAGAGCAGCTGAACAAAGGATGCTTGGTGATTTCTTAATTTTTTTTTAAATCCTAGTTCTACAAAATAGTGCATGAAATGTTGGGTTGAAATTTAAATTTATTTATTTTCTGTAACTTATTCGGGCCAGTGAAGTACTTCTTTGTTTCCGCAAACAAGATTACATCTGACATTTCAAATTAGAAATAATTAAAAGTTCCAGCTGGCGTCGGAGGGATGGAGTTATTGGGTTCGGGTGGTATGGCAACCGCAGCACAAGCTCCTTCACATATGCATCCGCACGCTGCCGCTATGATGCAGCATGCAGTTGCGGCTCAGCAGCCGAACGGTATAATTTTCTCACTTTGATTTCTTATACGTGGTTCTGAAAGCTTCTTTATTTTGAACCTAACTTTTCTTTTCGCTTGAGTTATTATACTTTAGGAGATTCTTTGCAACTGCAGCAGCTTATCGCCATGTCAGCAGCAGCACAAACGCCGCGCCCATTTGTCGACCAACCGTTGCTACAGCATATGCCGATGATGAATCCATTTGGACAAGATGTGACTGCTCGTTTGGTGAATCCGGGAGCACTGAATTCTGATATGATGCGCCGGTTGCAGCAGGAAGGTGGTTTTGCAAACCCAAATTCAAGACCGTAGATGATGATGATGTGTTTATCGTTTTTAATATATTACTTATAATTGTGCTAATTACAATTTTTTATTTCTACTTATGGAAAGCTCGAACTTTTATGTATTTATTGTACATGTGATCTAGAGTAATGCTGCCTCGCAAAGATTTTTGTTGCCGGTGAAGTTTTGACATTTTTTGCTGGCTTTGAACTTTCATTTAATTTCTGTTACACATCTGTTAGCTGAAAGTGGCTATTTTTATCCAGTTCAAAATTAGGGTGTTAGGCACCGATATAATGAATTTCTCTTGGAATTTTGTTGGGTAGCTTGGTTATAGAATTCCTTAGGTTTCTAATGGAAGCTGAGCTTGTTGTAAGTTTAGGTTTCTATTGCAATTTCAGGGCTTTTTCCGGTCATTGTAATTTTTCTTTTCCTAGTTTTTACAGGATTATATAGAACAAATTGAATTAAAATTTCAATTGTATGTAATTTATTGTATTGTCCTAATTGCTCACCTTAATGATTTTTTCTTTCTAATTTTAAAACATCGGAAACGACAGTGGTGCAGATTCCAGGTGTTGGTTTTCTTATAAATTTTGGAATTTTATGCTGAGGTTGTTTGTTGTTCTTTTTTTTGAGCTTTGAAAAAAGCTTTCAATTTAGTACTTTGTATTTTATGATATTTTGATTGTGGGTATATTACCTGGTTTCAACTTCGATTTGCATATATTAATAGGTTTGTTATGTCATTTATTTGTAATTCGTTTCATTGTTTGTTGGATATTTTGATTGTGATAGAAAACTCTCCTGCACATTTTCAGTCATACTATTTCAAAGTTTTCGTTGTTCTTCTTTACGCTTTTGTGTGTCTTCGTGTGTATGCTAATTCTTGGTGGACACGTACAATTAAATTTCTGAAAATGACTTATTAAACTGATTGGTCATTTGATTTGACATGTTGCAAAACAACTGATATAAACACGTGTTCAATCCACATATTGAATTTGCTGGATTTGGTAAATTTGTTTTAATTGACTGTGATCTGAGTTCTGGCTCTCAAAGGTATTTCGATTAGCTGGAATCTCTAGTATTTTTTCACAGCCACTGTCACTGGTTTTAGGTCGCCGTCGCTTATTAAGTTCTCTCTGTATGATGGAAGCGGGTAACTCGGCGTCGGGAAAGTTT